ATGGTATTTTTTTATTTTTTATTTCCATAGTAGTATTTAGTTGTCAATAAAATAATAAAATATAGTGGATTGAAATTTAATTGAGAGAGAGAAGTAGAGAGGAGAAGAGAGGAGGGGGCGCTGCTAATTATGCATGGCGATTGTTGATGGCTTGATTGTCTGCGTCCAGCTGCACGGAGGAGCGGGTAGAGGGAGAGGGAGGGCGGGGAGAGAGGCAGACTCACTGACGCCAGGCTCGGAATTCTCCCATCCATTGAAAGAGAGACCCGATTGTGTCCGGGGCCTTTCCGACAAGCACCTGATCCCTGCCTAGACACACTAGTGTGTGTGTGTGTGTGGCTACAGATTTACGCACGGAGAACTCTGGAATCTGCAGACAAGCGCTGTCATGGGAGTAAAATACACTGTTGGCATTTTTGATATCCTAGAAATAGCTCCTAAAAATGACTTTGAATTCAGGGGCAGTGTATTTTGTTGTGTCAACTTCACACGGAGGCCTGTAATCCCAATCGCCTAATCTATTTAGACAGCAGTTTGCTCAGTTTGCAAATACAAACAATTATATTCCCACCAGACTTGGGAAATTTAGGGCAATATTTGTCCTCCCCTTGACATATTTAAGAAAGATATTTAAGGTCAAAGACTTGTTTGGATACCCTGCACCGCTCACACAATATATCTCTTAAATAGCACTGGACTAAAGTCCTGTCTCACGGTTCAATATTGTGGTTTGCTCTAAAGTGAGCTCGCAAAATGACTTGTCATACACAGGGTCACTGGTTTTAGGGAGGATGAGGGGGGGTGTGATTGCCAGGAGGAAGGCAGTGACTTGAACATCTGTTAAACCTCTGCATGATGGGGCGGATATCTCCACGCGCATTTACGCACAAACGTGTCCAGAATTAAGATAAGAATGAAGTGCTTGTAATTAATCATAATTTTGAAACAGTATACTTAACCCACTCTTGTTGTTGTGTGTGTGATGTAACACAGTGTCATGTTTCCCGACAGCCTCGCCAAAATTATAATACCACTTAAACTAAAATGGATAGTTCAAACCCTCAGTTCTGAGTGGGTGAGACGCTCACAGTGGTTGCAAAATGTCTTGTGAAGACATACCGACAGGCTACCATTCTGGCACCCACGGACCATTAAGCAACCACTTCAACAACTGTACAAAAACTACATCACATGTAAACGTTTGGATTTGTTTTGGCTTTATTAACTGTCGCATGTTGATTGTGGATCGTCCCTCAACGCTGCTGTCCTGAGATCCGTCTCCAGCAGGCCCATGTTGGCGAATTCGACATCGCACAAGTTATGGAGTATTTGGAAAGGTTTGCCTCTAAATGTCTCTGAGTGGAACTGCAGACGGGAGGAGGGAAGCTCGGGGGGCGTAGATCCATGTCAGTGAGTGACAGACCTGGTCAGCCAATCGTATTTCCGAGCGCCTCTGCTTCTCTCCCCTCTGGTGGTGGACGGGGGAGGGCGGGCTGTCTGCCAAAGAGGGGAGTGCGCGTCGGGGTGAATGGATGACGTCGGGAGGCTGGCGCCAGCATGTCTGGGACTGGCGCGTTAGATCAACACAGCTGGGCCGGGATAGGACACACAGCTGGCTCAGGCCTGCATTCCTCCACAAAACAGGATTGTGAGAAAAGGGGAAAATAAGACCCAAATAGGAGCAGAACGGGACGTGCTTTGATGTAAACTAAAAGGGAACAACATTTGGAATTGTTAAAATATAATTTTCATAAAACTGTTTCACCCAAAGAAGGTTAGATTTAAACAGTAAGTAACTACACAGATGTGCACCATTAATATTCTTTCGCGAGTTTGAATGATTGTTAACTATACTTGACACATGCAATAGGGCTCTAAGAGAAGGCCTATAAGCTACCAAAACATAAACAATCATAAATCCATACTCAGTGATCGATCATCAGAATAACGTTCTCAGCAATTAACTAGTGTAGAAAACAGCCTGGAAGTCCACTGACCTTTTACCCATATTATATAAATATCCTTTTTTTCAACATTTTATTTTTGTATGCCCATTTTCTGGGGCTAGTGTGTTCTAAAATAAGCACATACATTGCTTAAACATCTGTCCATCTATATAGTATTATAGTATCTATCTATGTAGTTCTGAAGAATGTGTTTTCAAGGTCTTGACATAGTCAGACATGCAGCCAAACTTCATGAAGGATTTAAAGTCATAATGATACAAAAATAGGCCATAATTATCTAAAAACATCTCTGTGATAATTTATCACGTGTAGGCTATCTCTATTTCTTTAATTGTTGACATGGTCTGGAATTATAATTGTTTATAAAAGCAAAAGTCAGACATGCTGTAGTAAAATCTATAATTAAAACAACTCTCCTTGCAATTACTCCTAGGGAGATAAGTAGGCTGGTTGTAAACTAAAAGTATTCCTCTTTTTTTTTTCTCTCGGGATTCTTCTAAACTTGTAATGTGCCCTACTTCGAGAACTTTTACTTCCTATTTCAAATAAATACCACCACCACCTGAAAGAGGTAACTAATTGATTGACAATCCCCTCCAGGCATCCCAGCCTAATTTCCTCATTCTTTCCAACCCTTCCACAAGGTGATATCAGCCAATGACAATGCCCTTGCTCTGTACACTGGCCAATCAGAGCACGGTGCGAGAAAAGGGGCGTCAACAGAGTGCGTGGGGCGTATAAAAGCTTAACTGTACGTCGCTGTCAGAGCACTGTAGCTTGTCAGGACAGTTATAAGGAGACCGCAAGACGAAGACGAACTTACACTCACAAACATCGAGCCGAGTCTCATTGTTGTTATCGTTTCCCACCTCTTGTTTCCACCATGAAAGCCATCAGTCCCGTCCGCTCGGTGAGGAGCTGCTACAAGGCCGTGTGCTGTATTTCGGAGCAGAGCCTCGCCATCAGCCGGAATAAACACTCGTGTCTGGAGGAGCCGGTGAGCGCCCTGTGCGACATGAACGACTGCTACTCCAAACTGAAGGAGCTGGTGCCGAGCATCCCGCAGAACCAGTCGGTCAGCCAGGTGGAGATCCTGCAGCACGTCATCGACTACATCTTCGACCTGCAGATCGCGCTGGAGGCGGAGGACGCAGCCGCGCCGGAGATGTTTTGTCAAATAAAGGTGACCCGGGAGGAGGAGGAGAGAGAGAGATGCGTGGCTGGAGGGTGGCTTGGATGGCTTAGTCCCTTACAGGGCGCGACACGTGACATTCACGCTTTCAGCCATCCTTCCGGGGTGGGGTGGCGTGGGTGGCCACTTACCAGATCCCTCCTGCACTGGAGCCTGAAAAAAAGAAATAACTGTGTTTTAAGATCCTGTCTGCGGATTTTTTTTTTTTTTTTTTGTAAAGTTTGTTCCACTCATGCGGTCATGCTTTATGCGCCCCAAGCTTGCATGCACGGTGCTGCTATTGTATTATCGAGTATTGTGATGCAGTAGCAGATGTTCTCTGATAGTATGGCGTGTTGTAGGGGGGGAAACATGTTACACTCGCACACAGTGTCCGAATAAGAGTGTTGCCAACATCTAACACTGCCTTGTTTTTGCTCTGCATTCAGACTGCGGACCTTACTCGCAGTTTCTCCAAAGAAGAAGGGCGGTTGTGCCATTAGGATGACGATGACATGTTATGGTATGTATTTATCATTAAATAATCAATCATATCTTTCTAAATGAATAAACTCACAAGATAAATGTGTTGTAGAAAAACCCTGTCTCTGGGCAACGTAGCTTAGAATGACAACAGTGTCTTT